GCCCTGTATTCTCCATGACCTTCTGTGGAATCTCCCATCTAGACTTGGGAGGGTCTAGCCCATACACTGTGCAGATGTTCCTGTACACAGTGCCAGCTATTTGGTTGTGCCATTCAGTGTATGTTGTTCCTGCCTGCATCTTCTACTCTGCCACTATGTGTTGGACTGTCTCTGAGGTCTCTTTGCACAGTCTTCACCTTGGGTCCTGCCTAATGTGGTAGACCCCTGCTTCTATGGATCTGGTGTTTAGTGCCTATTCTTGTGCTGCTATGATCAGTGCCTCACAGCTGTCTTTTAGTCAGGTCCTTTCTAGCCACTGATAGGATTTCCCAATGTCAGCCACCTCAGCTGTCTGTCAGTGGTACATCCCATGCAGGGGCTTGTCTTGCCATGGCACTTCCTCCACTTGAACTTCCTCCCATGTCTGCTGTTGCCTCAGGCATTCTCTCAGCAGCTCATCTCTGGGTGCCATCGTACTGATGTACTCCTGGATGCTCTGCATTTCATGCAGGACAGTAGTTTTGACACTCACCAGAACAGGCAGACAGACAGACAGACAGATATGTCTATGTGATGTGTGTGTATATGTATGTATACTTATATATACTTACATTTTTCAGAAACTTAAAAATATTAAGGTTATTTATTCAAAATTAAGCCTTCTATAATACTACTTGAATCAGTACTGAAATTAGTTGGCCAAAATGACAGAAAACAGTCAATCCAAAATTTTGAAGGAAAAAGGGGCATCTCAGTTCTTTATAGTCAAGTTTAAAATGGTTTGCTATAAATGGGCATTCATATTAGGTTGTATTTGGCTGAGTTACCCTTTACTGTTAATAAATCTTCAATTTTAAATAGTGCTACAGATGAAATTCAAATGGGAAGGAGTGTGTAAATTCCCTTTTTTAATAACGCCTTACCTCAATACAATGTGAATGAAATCTTCAATAAATAAGCTCTAACCTTACTTAAGATTCACCCATCATTGCTCCAGGTAGTTTTCTTTCCCTCCGTGTCTTCCTTTTCAAAATTATGATGGGTGAAACAATGAGATTCAATACTGTCTCTGTAGATCCTAAGACTTGATTTTTTTTCTATGTAGATACAAATATACATCTACATAGAAAAAAAAATCTAGAGTGAGCTCTGTATGTTCAAG